TGGATTTGGACGCCGGAGGTGAGGTGAGTTGTGGGGCGGCATTGGCACAGGCCTACGGTCTGCAAAGCGGGGTCCCCTCCGGCTTGTTCCAAACCACACGCCAGGGATTCGGGCGTTAATTCGCGTCTTTTGCGGTCCGACAAGCTGACCCTCGGAAGGAAGCGAGTCTCCAAGGTCCCTCCCTCTCCCCCAGGCAGGGACGGGGGCAGGGTGGCTGGACCCCGCTGCCCCATCGCATCCTCCCTGGTGCACCCAGCTCCCCTGCCTGTGAGGCCCGCAGACACGCGCCAGGAGCGGGGCTGCGCCTGTGGGGACCCGCGGGCTTAGGAGACCGAGGGAAGGATGGAGCCAGGGCCGCGTGCTGCCCACACTGAAGCGGGAGGGATGCGTCCCGTGGAGGGGGCGGGGAGGCAGGAAAAGAGGGTACTGTCACTCTGACCCCAGGGCACATTTTCAGGCAGATGGGTTTTGGGGATGGCTACGATGGGAAGTAAGGATCAGAGAACTGATTACTTTAAAACAAATTCTCCGCGCTCGTGCACACACATCTTGGAAAGTCTTCAAATAGCTTGAGTACCCCAGTATTATGTCCACTGTCTTAGGCCTCGGTCAGCTTTTATATACCATAAGTTGCCTCAAGGAAAAGCACCGTTTCTCCCCGAGAAGCCGCGGATCCGGGATCGATGGGAAGATAAACCCGCAGGTTCCTGAGACGGGACTGTGTCGTTCAAACGCCCAGAAGCCTTTGCATCTCGGGCAAAGCAATGCCCGGCGTCGTGGGCGCCTGCTCGGCCCGTGCGGCTCTGGACACGGAGAACGCGGCCGGAGAGCCCTCGCCAGCACGCCGCTCTCAGCTACTTGTTGGCGCCGTGGTTAGCAGTGTGCGGGGCGTTTGTTACAAAAGGATGAAGAGGCGACTTCTAACCCCCGGGGGGCGCTTAAGGGGCAGATTCCCGGCTCCTCCCCGAGTCCCGGGCGGTCAGGGAGCTACTCCGCGCTCCGGGAAGACGTGCGGGAGCCCATCACAGCCTCACCCCGCGGCCAGTGCCTCCCCGGGGAAGAGAAAGGAAGGGAAATAGGAGGAAACGGAAGCCAACTGCAGCCAGAGCTGCTCCGCGGTGCTGAGTGCGCCGCCCGGGCGGGCCCTGGGGGACCGCGCACCCCTCCCTCGCGGGCCTGTTCCCTGGGTGGGGACAGAGCCCACAGAGGCGGGGGCTCTGGGGGGGGG